ATGTTCTCTTTTTAAAAAAACCCAATTTTTTTTGTTATATCAGTAAACGTCGGCGATCGTTTTGGATAATGAATTAGAGGCGGCGTCGAAAATAAGATGGCTGAAGGACTTTTATTTGTTAAAAAGCATCTGGTTTTATGTGTGGCCTTTCACATTAGTATTAATTGAAATAATAATATCACATAAATTGTAGCGAGTGAAACCCTCGATGACGACAAAAGGCAACATGATGTTCTTGTCTTGTCCAAACTTTTACCTTTGACATATTTTTTATTATTTTAATGTAACACCATCGATTTGAAGTTTGATAATTATGATCAAGCCTTTTGGTATTAGTCATAGAAAGAGTATGTCCTCAATCAAAATTCTCTTTTAATCTGCTACTTCGATCGTTCTTTCTACCTATAGATCGATTTCCTTTTCATCAAAATTTTATAGGTGTTTTATAGCATGTATTAACATGTATAACTAAGAAACTGTGATTAATAAATAGTTTCACCAAAGTGGTCTATTTATTTGGAGTCACTAAAAAGTTCTTAATATTATATACATGTGAGATCATTTAATACATGGATTGAGAATTATGATTAATAGATAGTTTCCACCTAAGTGGTCTGTTTATTTAAGTCATTGAAATATTCTAAATGCATATATCATGTCCAAATTATCCTTTATAAGTGTACACTAGTGTTAGAGATTTTCCCTTTGATACTAGTGACGCTAAATTAATGCTAAGGATAAGTTATTGTAAGAGGAGGTTTTGTGTCTCTTACCTAAAGGAAGGGCACAATGTATGCCTTGTACTTTGGATAATAAGGGGAGTAGGTTTTGTATCTCTTGCCTAAAGGTAAGGTTGCAATGAATGTCTTGGACTCCTTGATTTTTAAAAGGGCAGACAGTTGCATCTTTTACCCAAAGGAGGGGTTTGATGGATGTCTTTGACTCTTTTGATCTATATATTCTAGCCCATAATTTTATCTAATTTTTGTGTTGTTTGCTTATACAGCTGTTAGCAACATGACTAATCAGTTGAATTCCATTGAAACTTTGACTAGTAGCAACTACAAGAAATGGAAACAAGATGTTGAAATAGTGTTAGGTCTGATGGACCTGGACTTTGCATTGACTGAACAGAAACCTGTTGAACCTACAACTACTAGCACTGCTGATGAAAAGGCTAAGTATAAAAAATGGATGAAGGCTAACAAATTGAGTCTTATGATCATGAAGAGATCCATTTCTGATCACATAAGAGGTGAAATTAAGGATAATGAAAATGCAAAAGATTTCTTGAGTGCCATTGGACAGAAATTCCTAGAATCTGATAAAGCTGAGATAGGAAGCCTAATTGATTCCTTGTCTACCATAAAGTATGACCTTATAGATAGTGTCTGTGATCATATTATGAAATTGGTTAATATTGCTACCAAACTGAACAATTTAGGTGTAACCATTAGCGATGATTTTCTTATTCACCAATCTCTAAGGTCCCTTCCTAAACAGTTTAACCAACTTAAGACAACCTATAATGCACAAAAGAATAAGTGGAGTGTTGATGAGCTTATTACTGTTTGTGTGATAGAGGAAGGGAGGATCCAAAAGGAGAAAGTTGAGGGTGTAGTGAACTTTGTTAGTTCGTCTAGATCAGCTGATTATCCCTCTTATAAAAGAAAAGGTGGACCCAAATTTCACAAAAAGAAACATGGTCATTCTCATCATCCAGATGGTAATAGTGGTCATACTAATAAGCCTGGTGTTAATCAAGGTCAGTCTCATAATCCTCTTGGTCCTCAACCTGTAATTAAGAAAGAAATCAAGTGTTGGGATTGCAAACAAGTACTCCCTCCATTTCATATTATATGAGGTAGTTTGACTCGGCACGGAGTTTAAGAAAAAAGAAGAAGACTTTTGAAACTTGTGGTCTTAAAAGCTTAAGGGGTAAAAAGTTTGTGGGGCCATAACATTTGTGTGGCTATAAAAGTTTCTCATTTAGGATAATTGGGTAAAATGAAAGAATTTAAAGTTGAATTATTTCCAAATTTAGAAATGTGTCATTTGTTTTGGAATAGACTAAAAAGGAAAGTACCTCATTTAATATAAAATAGAGGGAGTAGGTCATAAGAAAGTTGGCTGTCCTCTAAAAAAGAAATCAGGTAATTTTTTTGGGTTTTGTCTGCTTTGAAACTAGTCTTGTTCATGTTTCTTTAAATTCTCGGTGGTTGGATAGTGGTACAACTGTTCCTGTAACCAATGACTTGCAGGATCTAGTAAGTAGACGGAAGCCAAAAGAGGATGAAGCCAGTGTTGTTGTGGGCAATGGACTCAAAGCAAAAGTAGAGTTTATAGGGACATCTATTTTACCTTTTAAAAATAATTCTAGTATTCTTTTAGAAAATACTATTTTTGTACCGTCTATGAGACGAAAATTAGTTTCGATTTCCTTTTTGGACAAAGATGGTTATTCATTTCAACAAAATAATGGTATTATTAAAATTCTCAATGATTCACATGTTGTTGCTGATGCTTTTTTAAGTGATGGTCTATATCGCTTGAATGTATTGAATGAAACTTTTTCTGCAATGTATGTTGAAAATATTGCCCACAAAAGGCCTGTTAAGAGTAAACCGTCTTACCTATTATGGCATAGGCGTCTTGGTCATATTTCTAAAGAAAGAATTGAACGATTGGTAAAGGAAAATATTTTACATGTTCTTGATCCAAAAGATTTTGAAACTTGTGTGGACTATGTTAAGGGTAAAATGACCAAGATTAAGAGAAATGGTTCAACTAGGAGCTCTGGACTCTTAGAAATTATTCATACCAATATTAGTGAACCTTATGTACCTACTTTCACCAATCATAGGTATTTTATTACTTTTATTGATGACTTTTCAAGATATTGTTATATATATCTTTTAAAAGAAAAATATGAAGCACTTGATAAGTTTAAAATTTACAAGACTGAAGTTGAAAAACAGCTTGGGAAGTCCATTAAGATAGTGAGGTCTGACCGTGGTGGTGAGTACTATGGAAAATATGATGAGTCTGGTCAATGTATGAGGCCTTTTGCTTTATTTTTGCAAGAATGTAGGATAGTAGCACTATACCATGCCAGGTACTCCTGAGCAGAATGGTGTGGCTGAAAGACGGAATCATACTCTAATAGAAATGGTGAGAAGTATGATGTCAAGGACTAGGCTACCTGAGTATCTTTGGGGTGAAGCCTTAAAAACAGTTAGCTATATCCTGAATAGAGTTCCTACAAAATCTGTCTTGAAAACTCCCTTTGAACTATGGACAACCCGAAAACCTAGCTTGAATCATTTTCACATTTGGGGATGTCCAGCTGAAATTCGTATTTATTCGCCCACAGAAAAGAAAACTGATCCTAAAACTACCAGTTGTTTCTTTATAGGCTATCCTGATTACTCTAAAGGTTTTAGGTTTTTCTGTCCTTGGCGTGGCATTAGAATCGTTGAGTCTATTAATGCAAAATTTCTTGAGCATGATGTTTGTGATTGTGATTGTTCATGTGGTAAGGAAATTGTATTGAAAGAGAAGGAAGTCTTTGTCCCTGTTGTACATGAAAAGGTGGTAAACCAACCTATTCATGAGGGGGAGAATCAAGGGAACAACGACGTAGATCCCATAGTTCCTGAGCAAAATGTTCAAAATGAACCATTTCGTAGGTCACAAAGAGAAAGAAGGTCTGCCATCTCCGATGATTTTATCGTGTATGTGACTGAAAATCTCAATGATACTGGAGAGCTGACTGATCCTTTATCATATGCTCAAGCTATTTCCTCTCTATTTGTTGATAAATAGCGTGAAGTAATGAAATATGAAGCTCTATGGAGCACAATGGAGTGTGGGAATTAGTTGAATTGTCTGTAGGTTTTAGGCCTATTGGTTGCAAATGGGTGTTTAAAATTAAAAGAGACTCCAAGGGAAACATAGACCGTTATAAAGCAAGGTTGGTTGCTAAGGGTTATACTCAAAAAGAAGGTATTGATTATAAAGAAACTTTTTCTCCTGTTTCATCCAAGGATGCATTTAAAGTTGTGATGACTCTTGTGACTCATTTTGATTAGAGTTGCACCAGATGGATGTTAAAACTGCTTTCTTGAATGATAGTCTGCTTGAAGAAGTTTACATGGTTCAACCTGAAGGGTTTAAAGAAGCTGGTAAAGAACATCTAGTATGTAAGCTTAACAAATCCATATATGGGCTTAAACAAGCTTCCAGGCAGTGGTACTTGAAATTTGATAAAATCATTACAAAATTTGAATTTGTGGAAAATAAGCTTGATGAATGTGTTTATCTCAAAATAGCTAATGACAATTTTATTATTATGGTTCTCTATGTTGATGACATTTTGTTTGCCACAAATGATTTGGGCTTGATGAATGAGACCAAACAATTTATGTCTAGGTCTTTTGATATGAAAGATCTTGGTGAAGCCTCTTTTGTTCTTGGGATAGAAATTAAAAGAGATAGGTCACGTGGTTTATTGGGTTTATCACAACGTTCCTACATTAAGAGTGTTCTTAAAACTTTCAATATGCATGACTGTAGACCTGGTATTGCACCTGTTGTAAAAGAAGACAAACTTAGCAAGAATCAATGTCCGAAAAATGAAATTGAAATGAGAACCATGAAAGATGTGCCATATGCAAGTGTTATTGGTTGTTTGATGTACATACAGGTTTGTACAAGGCCTGATATTGCATTTGTTGTTAACATGTTGGGGAGGATTTTCTTCTAATCCTGGGTGGGCACATTGGGAGGCTGCAAAGAAAGTGATGAGATATCTACAATGCACCAAAGACTTCATGCTTGTATACAAAAAGGTTGATGATCTGGATCTTCTTGTATATTCAGATTCTGATTTTGCAGGTTGTCAAGACAATGTGAAATCAACTTTTGGGTATATTTTTATGTTGGGTGGAGGTGCTATTTCTTGAAAAAGTGAGAAACAAAGCATCACTGCTACATCTACAATGGAAGTTGAGTTTATTGCTTGTTTTGAGACTGCTTCACATGCTGTCTGGATGAAGAATTTTCTTACTAAATTGCAAATTGTGGATTTTATATCTAAGCCGGTGACTATTTTTTGTGACAACAGTGCAGCTATGTTCTTCTCTAAGAATAACAAGAGAACAAGAGGCTCTAAGCATGTTAGCCTTAAGTTTCTTAAGGTTAGAGATATGGTAAAAGAAGGTAATGTACGTATTGAGCATATTAGCACAAAATCTATGTTGGCTGATCCTTTGACTAAAGGTCTTAGGCCTGTAGTGTTTAATGAACATGCTAAAAATATGGGCATTTTAGAGTCTTTTGATGTACTTTAGTCAGTGGGAGTCATTTTATAGCTGTGACTGAGATATTACTTTTAATAAATTCTAATTTTATGCAAGCTTGTGTTATTTAATATTTGTTATGCTTATTGACTACATGATAATTTATTTATTTTTATTTCCAATTGAACATTGCATAAACTCATGATATCTTTGAGTTTTGTTATTTGTTGCCTTGATTATCCCGGGTAAGGCACAAGGAAAACCTCCTAAGGTGATATGATTTTAATATCATTTGATTTGGAGGCTCCTGATGTGATATAGTTATAATATCACTTGGAGGATTATTTCTTTCTAAGAGGTGTGAATCTATTCACCTTGATTAGAAAGATAATATGCTTATCACACATGTTTGATCCATGTTGATGGAAATTCTAGCATATGTGGTCGTAGATAGAATTCATACCTTAAAATGGTGTGATGCCTGCTACGATTCATTGTTAGTCTTCTCTATTGATGCTGAATGAATTGTTATATGGGTCATTCTATCCTTGGCTATGTGAGTAGTGTGGCCACTGTAGAGTCTAAAATCTTTTTTCAAAATGATTTTCTTAAAACTCAAATATTTTAAAATTGTTTTCTTGTCCTCAATTAACGTTGGCGTCCAATTGGGAGAATGTTGGAATTTGGACTTACGTTAATTGGTTATAGCCTGAAAGGATAGTGATGTGGCCCAAATGGTGGATAAATAAAAGGCCTAATATCAAATATTATGTGTGTGGATAAGTGAGGCCCAATAACTATTGGCCTGTGATGGGTAGACACTCTTTATAAATAGAGGCCAACCCCCTTTCCCTAGCTATTAGGAAAAAAAACCTAGCGTATTTTGCCTCTTGAATACGTGGTAACGGTAGACGTCCCATCAGTCAAGTTCTCCGGGCTGTGAGAGCGCGTAGCTAGTGGATCGTGGAAGTTGGCCTCAGGCTTAATCGCCGTTTGTCGTCACTGCTGAATTCATAGAGTTTAATGGTACGATTCCTTAGACTCTAACTCTAGATTGATTGTGTAATTGTGTCTTAATCTCTGCTATGACTACGATTTAATTATCTTACATGTAGACCAAAACTAGGTATTTGCCCTCTAATCCCAAGTTCATTTTAGTATCATAAATCACTTTAAAGAGAAACCTTTTTAGTTGTAAACTTTTAATGCTAATTAAGTACTAGCAATTCATCTATGGTATGGGTGTGGAGGATGAAAGAATTTAACTAGCTATATCTTATATTAAAGTCAATGCAACATTTGGCAAGCCACCTTAATTTAGAGAAAATACTAATCTTCTACCTCAACAAATCATTTTTTTTTCTACAAAAAATGAAGTTGACCAAGAAATTAAGTTAGTACTCTATGGACATTATATTCAAACAAAACACGTCAACCTGGCGGCTCTTAACTTACAAAATAAGAGTAATAACAATAACGAAAAGTTGCACGTTATTCTTGACATCGTAANTATATATTAAATGAAATTCTTGGCGTCTCAATTTAATTCACCACTTGAATATTTTTACAAAGGCTTAAGGCTATCTCTATATAAATGAGATGTTATGTGAAAGCTTCATCTTAATTAGTTTCTAACAAAAGCCTTTTCTTCATGATTACCTTACATAAACATATTACTCTAGGATTACTTGTTGCCAGCGCTGAGATAGCGGTTATGCCACTCCCTATCAACAAAAATTGCAAAAGAAAGTCTAAACTTTTGAATTTCAGAGTCAATAGTAGTCTTATATTTTGTGTGTGCAAAATATGCATTAGCCATTTTCGTGATAGCTATTTCCTTATTTTTCATCTTGAATTTGTATATTTTTTCTAAATTAACTTGCAAAGTACTTATTTTAGTGTGGTTATTTGCTATTTTCGGGTAAAACTCATATGGTTTTCCAATTTGAGGAGGGACTTACCAAGTCTTTTTTAAAGAAATATCCAGAACTATTTTAATTTTATCTTCTACTATACTTTGGTTCATTCATACATTACTCATTAACAAATCATCTTGTATTTGTACTTAGATTTAATTGAGCTCGAGTATGGACCAAGTGGATTTCACGTGTTAAAATATTAACAGAAAAAAGTTCAAATTGACATCTCTAATTTTGACTAGTGTTTAGAGTTATCCTTTATTATTCTTATGCTAGAGATTCGTTAATCTCTAGGATAAATACAAGACGATTTGCTAATGAAAAAAATATGAATAACCCCAAGTACATTGGAGGGTAAAATTAAGATATTTCGTAAAACAGAAAGGTATTTTGATCTTTCCCGGCTATTTTAACTTTGCAAGAATTACATAACTAATTATAATACGTAACACAACTTTTTATTCTCATATGGAGAAGGGGCTCAATCAGTAGGTGTTTACTATGGAATGCTGGGCAACAACTTTCCACCAGCATCACAAGTTGTACAACTCTACAAGTCAAAAAACATAAGAAGAATGAGGCTTTATGATCCAAATCAAGCAGCTTTACAGGCTTTAAGAGGCTCCAACATCCAAGTTATGTTAGGAGTTCCCAATTCAGATCTCCAAAACATTGCTGCTAACCCTTCAAATGCAAATAATTGGGTACAAAGGAATGTCAGAAATTTCTGGCCAGCCGTTAAATTTAGGTACTGTTCAATGTGTGGCTATATCAAAGATTATATTTTATTTATTTAATTATGTCTTCAACATGCGACTTAACTCTTTTTCATTGGTCAAACACATGGAGTTCTTTTCGAAAATAGGTGTGGGTAAGACTCATATAAAGAAAATGTGACTGCTTTAATACCATGTTGAACTGCATAACCATTTTATTTAAAAGTTTAAATTATTAGAGAGTGTACGTTTTATTTATTTAATTATATCTTCAACAAGTACATTGCCGTTGGAAATGAAGTCAGCCCTGTAACAGGCACATCTTCACTTACCCGATATCTTCTTCCGGCCATGAGGAACATTCAGAATGCAATTTCTTCAGCTGGTTTGCAAAACAATATCAAAGTCTCAACTTCTGTAGATATGACCTTGATTGGGAACTCTTTTCCACCATCACAGGGTTCGTTTAGGAACGACGTTAGGTCGTTCATTGATCCGATTATTGGGTTTTAAGGGGCATAAATTCGCCTTTACTCGTTAATGTTTATCCTTATTTTAGCTATGCTGGTAATCCGCGCGATATTTCTCTCCCCTATGCTCTTTTCATTGCACCTAATGTGGTGGTACAAGATGGTTCACTTGGATATATGAACTTATTTGATGCAATGTTGGATGCTGTGTATGCTGCCCTGTCTCGAGCCGGAGGGGGCTCGATAGAGATTGTTGTGTCCGAGAGTGGCTGGCCGTCTGCTGGCGCATTTGCAGCGACAACAAACAATGCAGCAACTTACTACAAGAACTTAATTCAGCATGTTAAAAGGGGTAGTCCAAGAAGGCCTAATAAAGTCATTGAGACGTATTTGTTTGCTATGTTTGATGAGAATAACAAGAACCCTGAACTGGAGAAACATTTTGGACTGTTTTCCCCCAACAAGCAGCCCAAATATCCACTCAACTTTGGGTTTTCAGATAGATTTTGGGACATTTCTGCTGAAAATAATACTATTGCAGCTTCTCTCATAAGTGAGATGTGATAAGAGAGTACTCTTAAATTCTCTTTAAATAAGTAATACATGGATGGAAAACTTAGTACCAATAACAAGATAGTTTGTTCTCTATGCAATTTTCTTGTAATGAGACACTAGTACTTGCTCTCTAGTGGTCCTCATGGATTGTTAAATAGAGACAAATTAAGCAAATAACATAAACAATTGAGTGCTGATTCTGCAATGATAAATGGAAATTAATAGTGGTGTTTTTTACTTCCTGTTCTTGAGATGTTGTCAAGCAGCCTTTTGTAAGTTTATTAATTGCAAAGAAGAATGCCTCATCTTTTCCAATTAAGATTCCCATTTATCAGTTTGTTGCACCAACTGCTACAGTTTTAGCCAAATGAATCGGTATTTGATTGTCTAGAATTTGAAATCATCTGCCAAAGTACTGAAAAAAAGATGAAAGCAATAATTAACATGAAAAACATATATACATGAAATAAACATATTGCGAAAAGTAGAAAACCATGTACTCAATCGGGCATCAATGCTGAATTGTTTTAGGCCTCTTCTTGCCAAGCCATGACTTGAACTAGTATACGCGTGTTCCGTTATTGACAAATAATAAGACCAAAAAGTTAGGGTTAGAGAGTGTGTTTACCCTTAAAATGAGTAACAATTGATTTTTACACTATTAAAGGATATGTGATTTAATTTAACATGAATGAACTATGAACAATAGATAATTGAACTAAAGGAAATCAGAGCAATCAAACCAAATGCAATGGATAAATAAGTCTAGCTTTGAAATGGATGTTTGGCAATCGGTTCCGATTCGGCCCTCGGAATGAGCTCTGTTACAACTTAATAAGCAGGCAACTGAAGAACACTTTGAACAGTAGCTAAAGAACAATTAACTTTATTTCTTTGATATACGTGCCAACAATGGTTGTTAAAATATAAAAGTTCCCCCTTTATATAGTAAGGGAGTTTCAATCCAAGTACAAGTCTAAATAAGGTAAAAAAATCTTTGGCTTCTAGTAAACGTTATTACACAGTTGATACCGGTCGAGACTTGTGCCATAATATCTGGTGGTGGGAGGATATTTCGGCCCCTCGTTTATTTTGTCTAACCGCCTTTCTCTTAGCCCCAGTTCTTCACTTTGCTTGAGCTCAACGCTTGGCAGTATCCGGTCTCGGACGCACCATTCGTCCTCCCCGGGTTCTTGTCTGTGGATACTCTCGAACTACCCGAGGTCATATCGGGTCGCACTATCCTCTCGTTTCTTTACCGGGGAATCGGGGATAACTTTTATCCTCGATTTTACCCGTATACAGATAGTCCCTTTACTTTTCGGAGAGCAGATTAACAGAAACGACGAGAATTGATTAATTGACCCCGTTTCCTTCATCTGTACGCTACAATCGGATCGACGAGTCAGTGAAATGTCCCATCAGTCACGTCGTTCTGACTTCAGATACGTGTTATCCGCTGGTTGACCATCCTCGAATGCAAAATGTCACGTATTAATTATCTCCCTCCTACTAAAGCTTCGGTTCCCGTTTTTCACCTTTTTACTTTTCGATTTTAAACCTTCTTAAGTTAACCCTGAACTTTTTACTTGCTCATAATTCCTTGAAATCTTCACACATTGTTCTTCATATCTTCATTCCTTCATCTCCAATCATCAAATCTTCATATTTCTTCTTTGAATCTTCAAGTTTGACCTTCAAATCTTCATACCTATCTTCAAACCTTCATATCCACCTTCAAACCTTCATATTCCCAAATATTGATGGCGAAAACCTCGAAACTCGTGCCTCAAAATACCGCTCATTCAACCGCTACCCCGACCGATGACATCAAAAAGACCCTGCCCAGCAGTCCCGAAACCTCCTTTTAAGGATTTTATTCCCGGAGGCTCTTCCATAGACAACAACTGTAATGTCAAGAAGGTCTCCAAATAAGGGGATCGCGGTAAGGAGGTGTGGAGGTATATTTGCTCCATAACCTAAGACACGCTCCCGAAAGTCCAGTAGGATTGCAAGTGGGAGGGCAAGGAAATAGTCATCCATGGTCCTGACGAGGACATTACAACTCACGTTTATATGTACCCCTTAACGCTTGGCCCGGTGGTCCTCAATTTTTGCAAAAGGTACGAGGTCTGCCTCGGGCAGATCCACCCATCTTTTTGGAGGATCGTGATCATCCTTCCTCACTTTGTTAATAACACGGAGTGCCCCATTCACTATTGACCACATTCTCTACATCTACGGCCCCCGAATCTTCCAAGGCGGGTTAATCAAGCTCGCCCAACGGGCAAAGAAGGCTCCCTTCTCGAGAATCGACGAGGACTGTGATGACCCGATAGGTCATTTCCAATTTTAACCTTCATTTTATGTTCTGAGACCTTGAATAGATCCGTTTAGCCTTCATCGATTTGCATGCACAATCCGTGTCCTTTTTTCCGAAAAGTTTTTTTTTGAGAAAATTGATGAAAATGTGAAATTATGTCTTAAAACTTATTTGAGTTGACTATGGTCAACGTCTTGTATAAATGGACCCAGATTAGTGTTTTGACGATCCCGATGGGTCTATATCGTGATTCGAGACTTGGGCGTATGCCCGAAATCGAATTCGGAAGTCCCTAGCTTGATCTAACGTAATTTTTTGAAAACTAGAAGTTTAAAGGTTTAAAGAATTCCTATATTTGACCGTAGGTTGAATTTGTTGCTACCAGGTTCAGATTTGGTTCCAGAACCTAGAATAGGTTTATTTCATTATTTATGACTTGTCTGCCAAATTTGGTGCAAAACGGAGTTGATTTGACATGATTCGGACCCCCAGTTGAAAAATTGAAAGTTCTTAAATTTCTTTGAAAATTTCGCTTGTTTTGGTATCCGATTCATAGTTCTAGGTATTATTTTTGGTATTTTGATCGCACGGGAGAGTTCGTATGATGTTATTACACTTGTGTGCATATTTGGTTTGGTGCCCCGAGAGCTCGGGTAAGTTTCAGTCGCTTTTCGTAGAGTTCATGGGAGAACGGATTTTTGCTGATGCTCAGATCTCACATTTGCGACACTTGCAATTGCGAGCTTCATGCTCGCATTTGCGAAGAGCACAATGTCCTGAAGAGTTCACATTTGCAAACTCCTTATCGTATTTGTGATGATGGCCTGGCATGGGTGTTGGTCGCAATTGCAGTCACTGGGTCGCTTTTGTAACATTTTCAAGTTCGCATTTGCGAACAATTCATCGCAAATGCGATGACAACATAGATGGGAGTTCTTCGCAATTTCGGTACCAAAAAAAAAAAAGAAAGAAAAAAGCCTAATCATTGCCTTTAAGTCAAAACTCCCCGGGGGAAACTTTATGATCATTAGGAATTCGGGGAAACATCAATTGCGATGGTTTTCTCGCATTTTTGGGGTTCACAATTACGAACCCCAGGTCCCAATGGCGACATCTACGCCTGGACAAAAGAGGGAAAAACGAGATTTGGCTCATTTCTTTTAAACTCTCAACCCCAAACACCTTAGAGACGGTTTTTCCAAGAGGTTTTCTTTCTAAATTCATTGGTAAGCAATTTTTGTTACACCTCGCATTTTCGTACGTTAAAATTTCGTTTTCAGTTAACCGACGTAGACTCGGGGATGAGATCATCTTAACGTTAACGTACTTACGTTATTTATAACAAGAGATAAATAAGTGTTATGAAGGATAAAGAGGTACACAGATTAAAAGAAAACGAGTTTCGTTGAAAGTGGCTAACTTGGAATAAAATACGGGTCGAGCGATAATACCCGATAATTATGAACTAGTACTGTGCAAGGTACCATATGACCACGGTAGTATAATATATAAAGTATATATGAAGTATTTTAAAAATAAATAAAATTTTAAGTAATTCGTGGTAATTTTTAAATTATGCAGTTAATTGATTAATTTTCCTTATAATAGGACATTACCCAGTTAACTAATAAGTGGATAAAAAAAAAATTAATATCCCACCCCAACCCACGTGGCAAGAAGCCACAAAATTGGAAATGACTAAGTAGCCACTTGGCCAGATGGCTAATGTGTAATAATCAAGTAATAATTTAAGTCTTGATAAGATTTCTAAATCTTATCCATAACCTTTAGTAAGAATGCCTTATAAAGGCTTCAAAAAAAAAAAACCAAGATCTGCCTTTGGCATTAAAAGCCAAGGAAGTTGAAGTAGAAACGTTCCATTTTCAAAACCAAAAGTTTAGGAGCAATTTCGTCCAATACTTCAACAAATCAAAGCAGATTTTGTTCCTCAATTACAAAGCGCAGAAGCTTAATCCGATTTTTAGGTTCTAAGTTCAATCAACGAAGATTTCCAACTGAATATTATACGGAATTTTTCCAACTCCAGGTATGTTTAGGTCATCCCTTCTTTCTTTTGGCATGATCCAAATTATACTGAAGAAACGAGCAAAACACACAGTCTCCATAAATTACTCTATTCATAGAAATAGTAGGGGTGTCTATATTCTTGATTCCCCATGAAAAATATTATTATCTTCTGTTCATGGGTCTCAGAATAATACACAGTTGAAAAAGTTTATCCGGAAGGAATATTGAGATTATTACGTATTTTTCATGTATTTTCGCTCATTTATACATATGCATTGACTCATGAACGAATGTCGTTATATACACGTATATATGTAAATATATGTATATGGGATATGGGAAAAGGTTACGACGTTATATACGCACCACCACCTCATCAGCTGGTATATGTTGAGGATATTGCCCACAGTGGCCGAGATGATATGATGGGATGCCCTCAGTGGCTTGATGATATTATGTACACCCATACCTATGCATGGAACGATATTTATACGCACGTGCATGATATTATAAATGTTTCAGAATTTACAAAGTTATTCTTATTTAAAGATGTGTTTCTATATTCCATGTTTCATCTATGTCTTTTACGTACTAATTTTCATG